GGTTTGTTGTTTTTCAACATGGTGGCTCCTATTTTTTTCCCTCCCCGGTATCTTAAAGAGGGAATCCTGGTGGGATAGCAGGGTCCTCGCTGCAAGGTCAGTGGTTCTAATTCAGCAGTTGCTCCCAGGGAGAAAGATGCTGTAGGCTCGCTGCTCGGGTCCAGATAGGAAAGGCTCAGACACCCAAAGGGGCCGTGCCCCCGGGTAGCTCTGAACGGGAGTCGACTCGGTGGTCCTTTTCTTGTTGGTCGGTGCCGTCAGGTCGGTTCCGGCCCCCAGCCAAGTCACCCCGTGTGCAACTGCACCAAACCGCTCAGTCCTGTGCCTTCCTCACACCGGCGATTGTGTCTGAGCCCAGTGTTGCGGTCACTGCATCGGCTCACCCTGTTGAGGGTCTTGAGGGGCTTCCTCTCTGCGCTGTCCCTCTGCTTTACCAAGCACGACATCCTTCTCCAAGGCCATGCCTCTCCCGACAGGTCCAAAGTACGTGAGAGGGAGCCTCTCCAGCCTCACTTCCAAGGAGCATGCTGGCCGTTCTTCTTCCAAGACAGACCTGTTGGTGCTTTGGGTAGTCCTTGAGGCTTCCCATAGTCTTTTGACCTTTTTGATGTATTGATCATTTGATTGCGGGCTCTTACAGATATCATAACAATCCATAAATCAGTTAAATCAGGTGAATTTGTACAGATGCTGCCATCATCATTTTCAAAGCATTTTCTTTCTACTTGAGCCCCTTGGTACCCTCTTTATTCCATCCCTCCCCCACCCTGTACCCTCACGAACCCTTAATAAGTTAGATGTTATTGTTATCATTATTTTTATATCTTGAACTGTCTGATGTATCCCTTCACCCACAGTTCTGTTATTTATTCCCCTCGAGGGGGATTATGCATCTATCATTGCTATCAGTTCCCTCCCTGCTCCCGCCCCTCCTCTCCTATGCCCTCCCAGGATCATTACTTCCATTACTGCTTCTAAGGGTTTACCAATCCTGCATTCTGTGTGTCCAAAGCTCTTATCTGTACCAATGTGCATACACTAGTCTAATAGATTTGCGAAGCCCAACTGGGGCCATGATAGCAGGGGAAGAAAGCATTAAAGAAATCAATATTTTTTTTACCAGCATCCTAATTCAACGGTATCAGTTCTTCTTTAGTCTTCCTTACTCACTGACCAACTTTCTTTTTTTTTTGACAAAATAATAATTTCTTTTATGACAAAATAATAATTTATAAATGATCAAGGGCTCATGAGGGAGGGGGGAGCGGGGCGGGAGGGGGAAAATGAGGACCTAATGCTGGGGGCTTAAGTGGAGAGGAAATGTTTTGAGAATGATGAAGGCAATGAATGTACAAATGCACTTTACACAATTGATGTGTGTATGCATTGTGATAAGAGTTGCATGAGCCCCTAATAAAATGATTTAAAAAAAAAAAAAGAGAGAGAAAAAAAAAAACACTCACTGACCAACTTTCATATGCCTACGAGACTATTGAAAATACTTTGGCTGGGGTCAGGTAGACCCTAGTCCGGAAAGTAACATCTCTGCTTCTCAGCACTCGAAGGAGGTGTTGTGCAGCAGATGTGCCCATAGCAACAAGTCTCTGGATCTTGACTGCTGCTTCCATGAGCTTTGAATGTGGCTCCAAGCAGGATGAAATCTTTGACAAGTTCAATCTCGGCCACTTCACATGATGCGACCTACTGGTCCACGTGTGAAGGACTTTGATTTGCCATACATTGAGTTGCAAACCGTACTGGAAAAAGTTGGCAGTGGGTGATATTTTTTTAAAAAATGGCCCAGGTGTTTGAAGCAAGGCTCAAGGCCGGTGGCTTACATGAACAACTCCTTTGGCTTTGAGTAGTGCTTCTGTTCATAGCCAGGAGAGCAGCGGTTAGCTGACTTCTCACTGGACGCTGCACTGGGAGACGCTAGTTCACGTCCAGGCTAGTTCTGGTCAAGTGGACAATCTGAATTCATTCTAGGGTCTGTCCATCCATTCCAGATTCCTCCCTGATAGACGTTCTGTCAAGCCTCACTGAATCCTCCATGAGCAATCCCAGTGTGCTTTTCCACACCCCATTGGGGTAGCATTCTCCCAGACCACGATCTTGGGCACAGGGCGGGGGACTGGTTCAGGGGCCTGCCACGTCTGGGTGTGCACCTCCAGATCTGGCCCCAGAAAGGAATCTAATCTACAAAAAAAAAATTTTTTTTTTAATCCTTGCAAGGATCTGGGCTCTGTGCTTGGCGTTTGCAACGCCCCACGTTCATTTCAGACCTATGTGTGGACCTCTAGGTCAGTGGTTCTCAGCCTGTGTTGCAACCCCTTTGGGGGTTGAAAGACCCTTTCACAGGGGTCGCCTGATTCATAACAGTAGCAAAATTACAGTGATGAAGTAGCAATAGTTTTATGGTGGGGGGGGGGCGGTCACCACCACATGAGGAGCTGTCTTAAAGGGTCGCAGCATGAGGAAGGTTGAGCACCACTGCTCTGGGTGATTCCAAGTTACATAAGCTGAGCCTCAGCCCTTTGCTCTGCGTCCTTGGCCAGCACCTACTGGAAAAGACCAACTGGCCCATGCCTGTCTGATTTGAGGCCGGCTTGAGCAAATAAGTGCTTACCTCCATCCTCCTCCTCCTGCCCTCCTGCCCTCCTGCCCTCCTGCCCTCCTGCCCTCCTGCTCAGAACCGCTTAGCTGGGCGTTCCCTCAGCAGACAGAGTAGCTGGCTTCATTGGCAGTCATCTTCTGTGCATTCCAAATTTATTTCTATGTGAACTCGCAATCAGGAAAACACCCAAATTATTTTAAGCAAAATATCAAAATTGAAATAAACCAGCATATGTCTTCGAAACGTGTATAACTCTCAATCAAGTAAGCAGTGCAGCTTTCAGAAATGTCTTAAAATACCCCAGCCTGCAACATCCGCACAGCTGAAGGGGACAGCGTTCTGGCCCTTGGTGAGAGGCCCGTCTTCTTCATCCTTGCTTGGTGTAAGGGGGGACATTCAAAGAGCCACCCCTGGCCAGCTGTGCCTGCCCCGTCTTCACAGGTGATTAGCCAGCACCCATAATACGTGAAGTGACTATGGAGTTTTAAGGGCTGCCTGCTAACTAGAATGGAAACTAGAATGGCGAATGTGTCCACTTCCCTTCCATTCTGTCCTGTGCTCCACTCCCACCCCCCACCCCCGATATTTCTCTTCATAATTGCTTTTAACCTATCACACTTGCTTTCTGGTTCTCTCTCTCTCCTTTCTATGGGTCCCATCCAGTGGGAACTTGAATGGAATTAAAAGAACCTTGGTGGTGTAGTGGTTTACACTTTGGGCTGCTAACCACAAGGTCAGCAGTTTGAAACCACCGGACACTCCATGGGTGAAAGATGAGGCTTTTTTACTTCTGTAGCAGTCAGTCTTGGGCCCCCTCAGGGACAGTTCTACCCCGCCCTATCCAGGGCAGCTCTGAGTCACAATCGCCTTCCTGCCAGTGAGTCTACTTTGTCTGCCTGATTTTTCAGAGACAGTTAAGTGATAAATTCCTGCCTCACCTTTATGCTTTATTGACAGACTTTCTCGAACATATTTCCTTTAAAAACAAAAAACGTTTCATTGTTGTAACACCTTTCTTTTAAAAATCAGATTGTGAAGTCAAGGATAGGCATCACTCTGGCCCCATAATAATAGCTGGCATTTTGCCCACAAAGGAGATTAGGTGCATATAAGACCCTCAGTAATGAGCCCCTGATAAAATGATTTTTAAAAAAATAAAAAGAAAAGAAAAAATAGTAATAGGCCCAGCTTAATAAAAAGTCTTTAAAATTTTAATTCAACATTGCCTATATTACAATAAAATCACCATATGCAATTCCTTTTACTATAACAAGAAGTAAATATTTGAAACCGTAAAAATAAAAAGGCCCTCAGTAAAGATCGCTGCAGTCTAAGGAAGCCGGCCTGGACATCTTTCCTCCCGTTGTCCCTTCTTCCATCCGAGTCAGAGGGCAGGCTTTCGTGAGGAGGAGGGGCAGAAAACCAAACAGCTTCCTTTATTTGGAAGGTGATTTCAGCACACATTGAGTTGCTCATCTTCCAGCCACGCCTCTGCTGTGCACAGTGGTTAAAGCGCTCGGCTGCTCGCCCGGGAGTTGGCGTTTCTAACCCCCCAGCCCCTCCGAAGGAGGAAGCCAAGGTAGCCTGCTTCTGTAAAGATGCCCAGCTGCGGGCGCCGTACGGAGCAGCTGTGCTCTGTCTGAGGGGGTCGCCATGAACGCAGCAGCCAGGAGTGGGTCTTTCCTAAAACTCAAAACTGACTCCACCGTCTTCCTGTCCTGTCCCCACGCACTTCTTTCGAGGTGCCTCTGGATGGACGTGAACCTCTGACCACTCGGTTCACATCCAAGCACTTTAAGGGTTTTTGCCGTCGTCCCTTTTAAGCTTGTTAGACTCCTCGTCTCACTGGGCTCGCCCCCCACCCCCTCTCCGACCCGTCACTCCGGGGGGTGTCAAGCACCTAGCTGGGGGGCCGGCCGGCGCACCCCTCTCTCCCTGAGGTCTCAGCCAGGTCCAGCTTTTTCTCTCCCACATCCCTCTCACTCCCCTGGTTCCTTTCTTAATTGTCAGGAAGTTTCTTCCTCCCTCCTTCCGTTCTGACTTTCAGAGCAGTTTGGGCATGGAGACGTGTGTTAATTATTTAATACATCTTTGAGACACGCGCTGCTGTATTTTTATTAACGAGCCAGATGGCTCACCGTGGATTCGCTATGACAGAACTGATCGCAGAAATCAGCGTGGGGCCCAGAGCGGATATAGAGGTGGCACGTGCGCCGCGTGGAGGGTCAGGCAGGCACACGGGTAACTTGAGAAGGAAGATTGTTTCCCGACGCAATGGGTCTCAGCCAAGGGCAAACTAAGGACGTTGGGAGGATGATTCCCTTTCACTTCAGACCCAAGCACTCGCGGCCCCTCTCACCCACCACCTGCTGTGTTCTCTTGGCAGTTCGAAGGCTGCAAGAAGGCCTTCTCCCGGCTGGAGAACCTCAAGATCCACCTTCGGAGCCACACGGGTGAGAAGCCGTACCTGTGCCAGCACCCGGGCTGCCAGAAGGCCTTCAGCAACTCCAGCGACCGTGCCAAGCACCAGCGGACGCACCTGGACACTGTGAGAATGGCAGGGGCTTGTCCCCTCCCAGCCCGGCCCGGGGACATCAAGGGCGTTGGCCACAGGGTCTTCAGGTGACAGGGACAAGGCCCTGGGCAGCAGGAGTAGAGTGTAGTCGAGGGACAGAGGCACCAGGCAGGCATCCTTGTGGGCCGTCCTCAGTCTTACAGCTCCCGGGACAGAAGAGTGATTTGACCACCTCTTTGTTAAAGTGGGCGCCCTGGTGACACCGTGGTTAAGGCACCGGGCTGCGACCTGAGAGGTGGTCAGTTTGAAATCCCCCAGCCCTTCATGGCAACGGAGTGGGGTTTGGCTGCGAGCATAGCTGAGACTTAATACACATTAAGTCTTTCATGCATTTACATGGATTGGCATACCGACTGCCACAAGGGGTTCAAAGACAATGTGGGCGAGGGTGGCCTAGGGCCAGGCTGTGGTTCGTGTGTCACCGTGAGCCAGTACTGACTCGATGGCACCTAAAAACCAGAGCACACTCATGGTTTATTAACGGCCGTGACTTATTGTTAAACCAGCCCACTGGCCACCGAGTTGATTTCCACTCACAAACCGACCACACTCCCTGCCACGGCGTCACTGCCGTCTCCTCATAGGGACCCTTTAGGACAGGGTAGGACTGTCCCTGGGAGTTTCCAAGACTGTAACTCTTTACGGGTATAGAAAGCCCATCGGTGTCCCTCAGAGTAGCCGGTGGTTCCAAACTGCTGACCTTGCAGTTAGCAGCCTATCGCGGAACCACGATGCCACCAGGGCTCCAAAGACAGCTTCATCTTTCAGGCCGATTTCAACTCTCAGTGACTGTGCGACCAAGTAGAGCTGCCCCGTAGGGCTTTCCGGCTCCCATCTTTATGGGAGAAGCCAGTGCTTCCTCTCCTATGGGTGCGCTTAACCACCTGCACCACCAGGGCTCCTGAGCTGGGGTGCAGAGTCTGTTTAAATGCAGAGTAACCCCTGGAGACGGGGTGGGCATTCCTAAGACATAGTAACATAAGCAGGCGTTGCTGAAAGAGAGGGAGACCCACAAGGAGATGGCTTGGCACCGTGGTACAAGGGCTCACATATACCCGCGGTGATGCAGATGGCACGGGATTGGGGCGGTGTTTCCTTCCAATGCTCCTGGGGTGGCTGGGAGTCGGAACCCATTCAACAGGGCCCACCCACAGGACTGGGAAGGTTTTTTAAATGTTGCTTTGTTTTGTTTTCTGTACCCTGATTCTTTTCTTTTTGCCGGCGTGGGTTTTGAGGGCGAATCTGGTCTTTTGCTCTGAGACTCACCAGTGTTACACCTTTAAGGGGTCTAAGAAGAGGCATTGCCGCCCTCCCGGGGCATGGGTTTCAAAGCTGCCCCTGTGTTCACAGAAAGGAGCCTTTGACATAAACCCAGAGAGCGCAAGGGCTCTTCCTTCGGACGTCCTTCCCTCTCCACATGCTGGGCCGCTTGGCTCCTTGGCCACTGCCTTTCCCCTGCTCTCTCCCTTTGCCCTCGCCTGACTGTGGGCTGCGCTCCTCACCAGTGGCCCTCCAGGCGACAGGAGACTTCCCTCTGCTTAGCCGAGCCAGTGGGACCGATCTATTTATACACAGCACGGCTCTCCCAGCCCGTGTTCTTGCGAATCATGTATTCATGACAATGCTTTTGCAGTGTTCACATTCCGATGTCTATTATTAAACTATGCCAGAGTGGGGAATGTTGAAAAGATACAGCCATGGCTACGCATCTTCTCATGCATATTTCAGATTCTTCTGATGCTGCCTTGACATGTTTAGCTGCACGTTCCATACACTTCTCCGCTGGCCACACCAGGGGCCCCGGTGGTGCGGTGGATGAGCGCTCAACTACTAACCTAAAAGCTGGGCAGCTCAACCCACCCCCACCCCCCCACTCCTTGGGAGAAGGCCGGGTGATGTGAAGCTGACGGCCTCGGATGCGCCGTGGGGCAGGCAGCTCTGCTGTGAGCCAGAATGGCCCTGCGAGCAGCAGGGGGGTCGTGTTGATAGACGTCATTTCAGCGGCGGTGCCACGTCAGCTTTGTTCAGCGAGCATTCAAATGTACTCAGATGCAGGGGGTCGAGCGCATGGGCTGTTAACCACAGCCGTTCCAGCCCACCCGCCTCTCCTCCCCCGTCTGCTTGGAAACCCTTAAGGGTCCGGCAGGGTCACTAGGAGTTAGAATGGGCTCGATGCCAATGACTTTGGTTTTTGTTTATCTGTTTCTTTTTGACCCGTACAAGAGTTATGGTTTATAGAGGCCTGTCTCATAAATACCTGAAATGACATTTGAGCTGTGGCATGCTGGAAGAATCTTCTCTGTACAAGCTCCCTGCCAGCGAGTCGATGCGAACTCAAAGCAGCCCCAGAGGGCAGGGCAGCACTGCCTCGTGGCTTCTGAGACTGGCTCTGTATGGGAGCAGAAAGCCACGGAGCAGCTGGTGGCTTAGGGACGGCTGACCTTGTAGGTAGCAGCCCAACGTGCAGCCACTATGTCACTGAGTTGGATTTAGGGATGTCAGAAATCGCAGACTAGTCGTTGAAGACATTTGGAGAGTAAATGGGATTTTGACAAGGCAGAAGAGTAGTGTTGAAACTGGCCTGGGCGGAATCCAATCAGGGTTCTAATGTGTCATTTATCTTTATCACGGAAGGGTGAGCTTCCTGGGGTTAGGCAGTCTGCAGAAATTGCTTCCATTTTCCCGAGTTATCTGTGGTTGGAAAGGACTAGCGCCAAGCCACGTGTCAGGATTCCACGGTATTCTTCGTAGCTTGCCACTAATTTTAGCGACTCATTTTGAAATCCAAAAGAAAAATCCATTTTTCAAACTTTTGAGGGACGTTATCTAAGATAATTTTATGATTCCACATAATGCAAGCCCTTTAAAAACTAGGCCAGTTTTATTTTGGGCCGAGGGAAAGTGTTTCTATTAAGTTTTCTGAATCCATCATAGTCTCTGAAATGAAGTTCTCAGATCCCTTGTTTAATTCTTGTACAGACTCGGGCAAACTGCTGAGCCCTGTGGCGCTGGTGGTTAGGCATTGGTCCATTAACCACAAGGTGGGCTGACCGAACCCCCAGCCTCTGTAGGGCAGCGGTGAGGCTGCCTGCTCCCATGGAGGCGGACAGTCTAGGTTGCAGCTGTTCTCAACCTGTGGGTTGCGACCCCTTTGGGAGTGGAACAACCCTTTCACAGGGGTCGCCTGATTCATCACAGTAGCAAAATGACAGTGATGAAGAAGCAACGAAAATCATTTGATGGTTGGGGGTCACCACCATATGAGGAACTGTCTTAAAGGGTTGCAGCATTAAGAAGGTTGAGAACCGCTGGTCTAGGAAGCCTTGCATAGGGGTTGGTTGGTTGGAAGCCTTTTCAAAGTTATATCGGAATTAAATACTGATTTTGAACAGCCAACGTGTTGCTTGACAGGTTGGTGATTTAAATATAGGTCCACTTTCCCTTTCACTGGCTGCCCCGGAGCGACAAGCACAAGGAAGAGCTTGATGATTAGCCGAAACAACGATGTGCCAAGCCCAGGGATGCCCAAGTCACATGTCTAGAACCAGTCAGTCTTCCGTTCAGCCCTCACGCGTCCAGGAGGCGAGGGGGTCCCGCAGTCAAAACGGGTGCCCCTCCATATAACCCTGGCTTTCGCCCAGGACGCCGGCCACCAAGGCCACGATGACTGGTTCTCCAGCTGACCTCTCGTCTGTTGGTCATCACCTACGGTGCCCTGTCTCTTTCCTCTCACGGCTCCTTCCTAACTCGTTCTCTCTCTCTCTCTTTCTCTCTCTGAATCAGGTTTCTTCTGAAACACAACCAGTCTTTTCTGGACTTTTCTACAGCTTCTTTACCCGAACCCCTAAAGAATCTGTGCTTCCTAGTTTCTGACAGTACCAAAGATTGTTGCCACCTGTAAGTACGGCTGCAGACACTGCCTCACCTCCCACCATCAGCCCTGCCACAGGCCCGGCCCTGTGCTCCTTGGATGCCCTTTCGTAAGCCTGGTGGAAGAGAGCCATCTCTTTGTCTCTTGGAAGTTTCACCTTCCCCTTTGCTGCGGCACCAACCCGGGGGACCTTCTCCTTAAAGTGCATGAGGGTCACCCAGCATTTTCCATGAGTCACTTAGTGATAGTTCAAGTCACCAGCCTTTGAGCCGCTCTGTAACCTGTATGACGTAACCACAGCTGTCTCTTTCTTTCTTTCTTATTTAGAAACCTTATGCTTGTCAAATTCCAGGATGCACCAAACGCTACACAGACCCCAGTTCCCTCCGGAAGCACGTGAAGGCACATTCTTCCAAAGAGCAACAAGCCAGGAAAAAGGTAATTTGGGGGGAAAAAGGGCGGGGGGACTCCCCCAGCCAGCAAGTGCACACCAAGGTGACTCAGGTACTACTGGGGGCCTCAGGGATGCGTAAGGCTTCTTGAGATGCTATGGATTTTCGGAGGGAGCTCAGCCCTGAGCTATCAAGGCTCTGGTTTACAGAAGTAGTTGGAGCCAGGTAGGGATCTCTGGGCATGGCTTGTTGGATTGGGGAACAGTAGTGAAAAGTCACCAGAACTAGAGAGTCCCAGATTTAAGAACCCAGTGTAACCAGCCAAAGGGAACGGATTTGGAGTAGCAACAATAAAATACCTTGTGGTTGATTCATGCTTTAAATATATATACTTACCCTAATTAACAAATGGCCAAGATGATTTTCGCAGAAATGAAAAAGGAAGGAGTCTTATATAGCATAAATATAGCACAGCCCTTAATTGAAGCTTCCGAGACTGCATTTCTTAAAAGGTGGTTGTGGCATAGTGGCCATGTGTCTTAACTGTTCACTGCAAGTCAGCAGTTCGAAACCACCAGCTACTTTGAGGGAGAAAGAAGAGACTTTCTAGTCCTAGAAAGAGTTATGGTCTCGAAAGCCCCCAGGGACAGTGCTACTCTGTCCTGTAGGGCCACGGCGAGTCCGAATTGAGTCAATGGCAGGAGTGTGGTCTTGTTTTGGCTGTTGGTGGCAGTTGCCTTTGAGTGGATGGTGTCTCACGGTGGTCTTACTTAGAACTGAACCAAGCGCTGCCCGACTGTGGGCCATCTTCCTGAACTTTGGGGGTGTGAGTCCCTTGTTCCAGCCCCCGTGGAATACTTTTGATCCTGGAGTGCTCATCAGTCAGCACTATGCTAGATGGTCTTCCCATAACAGGTCCCGGGCACGATGGATGTGGAAAGGGTGCTGAACTGACAAACTCTTTGACATCAACAAGGGATGAATGTATCTTTAGAAGTTTATGCAATATCATATAGCTCAGATGTTGAAGAAATACTAAAGGTCTATCATCAAACCCTCATGATTGTTTCCCCCCACCCACCTCCTACCTCCCACCCACCCCCAGCTTTCCAAGTGCTTGGCAGGCTGAGCCTGAACTACTCTAGGGGTGGGAAGCTTGCTACGTCTCAAGGCACTTGGTGTTTGAATATGGGGCTCAATTAGTATCTCTTGCCCATGGCCAAAGGCAAATTGACCTGACCTTGGCCCATGGAATGTTTTCATTTGTGTTGAGATGAGCACCTGACTCATTTATGGATTCTTCTTTGCAAATGGAAGGTTCTTTGACATTCAGCTTGTTTTGAGTGCTTGAATGAATCCCTTGGGTTCACTGTGAGTTTTGCTTGGGAATCTTGCCTTCCTTTGCGATCTATAGGGACATAACATTCTCATGTTGGGACATGGTCCCTGGTCTCTTTGCTATTGGACTTTTACATTCCTGGGAATTCTTGGCACACCTGGGGGTTAGGGGGGTTCCCACACACATGACTCACTGAGGGGTCACACTTGAAAAGGATATGACCTCTTCTCTGAGAGAAGAAAATGCTCAGTTAGAAGGATTCAGGAGGCAATCTTAATTGCAGACAACCTCTCTTGTGCAAGTCAATTGTTAGACTTGCTTCCATCCCCCACCCCCCCCAAAATATAGTTCAGTCTCTTTGCGAACGACATGCATGATCATTTGGCATGGGGTGGCTCTGTTCTTTTCTTTTGGAAGAGTCCAGGAACTGCCAGGAGGATGAACAATGTCAATAGATCTCTGAGGGCAACCCATATTGTTCTTCACATGGCCCACTGCGGCTTCACTGTGGTAGTGGGTGGTTGGCTTTGAGTTGTTTCCCTGTCCTGGTGACTGCAGGAGACCTGTCGGTCATCTCTGGGGTCCTTGTCATGTGTGAGCCCACTGCTGTGTCTTTCCAGTCACCCCATCTCCTGGGGAGCTGCCTTCCTTGTCACTGATCCCCTAGTTTACCAGACACGGTGCCCATTTCTGAAGACTGGCCTCTTCCTGACAAGGTGCCCAGAGGAAGCTAGTCAAGCACACACACACCCCACCCCCAAGCTTCGCAGGAGCATCCTCCCCGTGAGGGTGTGCGTTTGCCAGCAATTCAGCGGAACTACTCATCTGTGTCCTCGGCCATTAAGTGAACGGCTCTTATGCCTTGGAGGTAACAAACGGTTATGTGTTAAAAATAAGAACCTTCCAGTTAACAGTATGGTTTCCATAGGTCTGGTGGATTTCTGTCCCCAGGTTGTCCCAAAGTGTGAGGCTTGAGTCTGCTCACTACTCGGATGCTTTTCTGGAGAACAGCAATTCTGTGGATGTGGAAGACTGAATGCCCCACTCGAGACAGATCTGTCTTGGAGGACGCACAGCCAGGGTACGCTTAGAAGTGAGGGTGGTGAGACTTCATCTCCCACTTCAGACCTGTTATCGGGAGGGACCAGTCCCGGAGAAGCACATCACGCTGGGTCAAGTCGAGAGGGTGCGTGAGAAAGCGGAAGACTCTCAATGAGGACAGACGCAGTGGCTGCCCCAAAGGGCTCAGACGTAGGAAGGAGTGTGAGGACGGGCAGGGTCTGTTCTGTGGAACACGGGGCACTGGGTCAGAGCTCACTCAATGGCACCCACGGGGACAGCGTCCTGGTGGATGGAGACGCAGCACCGTCAGTTCCGTTCACCACGGGGATCTAGGTTGACAGGGCCCGCTGTCAGGGATGGTTGAAGCTGTCACCTCTCTCTGAAGAAAGAGTGCCGCTAATTAGGTGAGCGATTCTCGAAACATCTCCAGGAGAAGAAAATCAGACTGTGAGAGGGCGGCCTATCGGTTTGTAGACAATTTGCAGACAACCTTCAAAGGGCAACCAAGACAACCAGGGGCATCCTTTGGAGAAGCAGTGTTATCATCTTCTCTCAACTACGGCAGAGCCCTGGTGGTGTAGCGGCGGTTACATGCTGGGCTGTGATCCTCAAGGTCAGCAGTTTGAAACCAGCAGCTGCTCTGTAGGAGATAGATTGGGCTTTCTACTCCCCTCAAGAGTTATAGTCTCAGAAATCCACAGGGGCAGTTCCACCACAGGGTCCCTGTGAGTTGGCAAAGACTCGATGGCAGGGAGTTTGAGTTTGGCTTGCTCTCGGGAGCCCTGGTGGCAGAATGGGCTGAGTGGCGCTGCCAGCCCCCGGGTCCACAGTTCAAAAACACCAGTTCCTCTTCAGGAGAATGACGACACTGTCCACTCCCATAAAGAGTGACGATTGTGGACACCCATGGAACAGTGCTACCCTGTCCTGTAGGGTCGTCATGAATTGGAATGGACTCTGGGCCAGTGAGTGTTGGCCTGCTTGTGTCTTACTTAAAATGAGGTGTCACCTCTCCAGTGACTTAGCTCGGGTTGCCTGATCAGTTTCCTGCCAGTGATTTAGTTGGCTTTCCCTGTCCAACCTCAGGGGCAAGGCCGAAGCTCTCCTTGCTGAATTCTAAGGTGCCTTCTCATCCTCTGACAAGTCTGGGGGCAGAAAACAAACACTCATTATGAATCCGGAAGGGATGCGTTTGCGGAACTCCGAAGAAAGAACGTCCCTCTGTCCACCAAGAAGCACTACAAAAAGAAATTCCATTCCCAGGAGAAGCACTGTTTGTTTGCCCCAATGCCATCGATCCGCATCTCCACGTCTCCCACTGGGGTGCGCGGCGCGGGAGATTTACATGGTCAGATGTTGTTACCAGACCTGGGAGAAACACTAATTGTGAACTCACATCGGGCCCTGGTATTTGAAATATTTCCTGGCAGACGGAATTGAAAAGAGGGAAAAAAAAGTAAGAAACAATAAACCTTTAAGACAGAATTAAGATTATTTACGACTTTAATTAAAAAATTGAAAACTGGCAGCTTTTCAAAAGACTACACACACACACATGCACACAAACACAGAGAAATGTGAATTCATCAGAAATAACCATAAAAATTCCTAGGTGATAAAGGCACGGTTGGGTAATGGGCCCAGCCTGGGGGAATTGTTTTGTTGAAAAGAATAAAACCCTTTTCTGTCACACCCAGTTAGTCATGGATTCATTTTATACACCCTGCCTGCCTCCCTGCCTCCAATCCTCTTTTGAATCTCCCCAGGGATACAAAATGACATTAGTTTGGCCTTAACATGGCTGGCTTTATGAGGCCCTGCTCTGAAATTGGGGCCGGGCCATCGAGTCAGCTCTGACGCAGAGCGACCCTAAACGATTTCCAGAGCCACACTCACTGCCCCGAGTCAATTCTGACGCGTGGCGACCGTATAGAATGAGTAAAACGGCCCCCTGTGGGTTTCTGAGACTGAAAGTCGTTACAGAAGTAGACAGTCTCAGCTTTATTCCAGGGATCCCCTGGTGGTTGCGAACTGCCGACTTTCCAACTACATCTGTATTAGGAAGGGTTCTCTGAAACAAAACCAGGACCCTATGATTATAGCTAGCTAGCTAGCTAGCTAGATTTATACAGTGAGAAGGAATATAACAGCTAATTAGTCCACACAGCAGTTCAGAGGACTCATTTCAACTCACTTTCCTGAAATAGTTAATTTATTGGAAATCCTTCAACTCACATGAGCTGCCGGGTCCAAGGTCAAGGAAGCGGACAGTGGAGTCTTCCCTCGGGGAAAACAGGTAGCAGGCAACAGGGTGGATCGGCAACAGTCAGTAGCACAGCAGCTTAGGGAAGCAGGTCCAATGGGATCTTCAACCCAAGTGATACACGGCGACAGGCTCCACCAGCCTCAAGGTCAAGTGATGTGCACACCAGCAGCATGGTGAAGCAGGTCTTGAAGGACCTCAGGCTCTAGGGGCACGGTCCATGAGTTAGCTTGGCCCACATGTAGTGCAGCACACAGCTGAGGCAAAGAACTAGCTCAAGCAGCAGCACGCTGCTCCTATCACCAGGGAGGAAGACAGAAGAAGGCAGGTCTTAGGAAGCCATTTATCTCGTTACCCTCCAATCCAGCTGCGACCTGATTGA